CGCAAGCCTAATACCCTAACTCCAGTCATCACCTTCAATCCTCCTTTTCTCCATTTTCCTCTGCCGCCGTGACTGTTTCTGAAGTGCAGTATATCTTCTTCATAGCAACAAATGATTTTATGGCCAATTAGGTAGTTTTGTTGCTGGAAAAATGCATTTAAGGTAGTGGTTTATTGTAAAATACATTCTTTTCTTGGATTTTAATGAATATCTTTCATTTCTTTCCATCTTCGCCTTTTCTGTAGCCTCTCCCATCAGATTCCTTTCTTTTCTTTTTTCAGATCCAGTCACTTGAACATTGAACCATTCGAACCAGTCAACCGCTCGATTTTTCCAATTTTTCCGGTTTGTTGACCGGTTGGCCGGTTCTTCACCGGTTCGTTGACCACACGGTTCATCTGCATCAACCGGACCGGACCAGTGACCCATTCACAGTTGAACCGGTCAAACCGGCCGGTCCGGTCCGGTTTTTAAAACCCTAGAAAAAACAGACACCTCCTTGAAGTTGCTAGGGCTCTCTTACTGGGTAATAATGTTCCACACAAATTTTGGGCAGATGCAGTCCTTACGGCTGCTTACCTTATTAACCGCATGCCCTCTAAGGTTCTCAACTTCCAAACACCTCTTGACTTATTCTTGACATCCTATCCTCACTCTCATTTAATTAACTCCCTTCCTAAAAAGATATTTGGGTGCACTGCTTTCATTATTCTTGATGCAGGCAACAAATTTGACTCTCGGTCCATCAAATGCATTTTTTTAGGGTATTCATCTACCAAAAAGGGGTATCAGTGTTATTCTCCTGACATGCGCAAGTTCTGTGACACTACTAATGTCACTTTTGTTGAATCTCTTCCTTTCTTCTTCTTGAAATTATCCATTCAGGGGGAGAGTAATGGTGAATGGCTAATCTATGTGACCAATAATGGTCATCCCGAAGATAACCAGACTGGCAACCCTAATGTGGGTCCTCACACATCACTAGACCTGTTCTCCATTGACTCTAGTTCTATACCCATCTTTGAACCTAAACCACCCATTCCTGATCTTGAACTACCTATCCCTAAACCTACAATTCAACCTCCCCATACTGAGCCCAATTCCGAGCCATACTTAGATGAGTCAAGAATAGATCAATTTGAACAGCACACAAATAATGAAGACCCCATTAACGTTCCAAGGCAAAGTCATGATTCTCAATCTGAGGATAATCCTGAAGACCTTCCATGGCCAATTGCTCTTAGAAAAGGTAAGAGAAGTTGTAATAGACACCCCATTAGCAGGTGTGTTTCTTATAACAAACTTAATACTCAATTTAAGAACTTTGTTGCTGCTGTGGATAGTGAAGATATACCAAAGACTTTCGAGGAAGCCATTGTTAATCCTAAATGGAAGGTGGCTATTAATGAAGAACTGAAGGCTCCCAATGAATTCATAACATCTCTCACGTTCAACAACCCTTTTGTAATACACCTCATCAACATGACACAATCACTGATGAACTTCATATAGGTCTATATGCTACCAAAGCCGCATCAAGGAGTTGTAATACAGTGTAAATGATTTCTCCCCCTGAGTTAGAGTTCGAAGACCCCATTTTGTGTGAAAGATAACTGCTGTATTTTCTTGAATAGAGTAGGTACACCGTGCAGATTTTGAAGTTTCCTGAGCAATGTTAGCAAGAAGGTAGTTCTCGTTGATTTCAGTGCTCATAGAGTGAACTAACCAAGTCATGACCAAATTGTTTTCTGCACACCACACTTCATATTTGGGATCACCAAACTCTAGCGCCTTCGAATGTCCAGTCAAGTAACGCTCCTTGTTGCAACCTCACACAAACATCAACACATTTCTAGACCATTGTGAGTAATTATTGCTGTTGAGTCGATTGGTGATGATAAGTTGAGAGGAGAAGTCCGTTTGCGAATTCCCAAAAGAACATGCACTAGTCCCTCCTGAATTTGCAATCCCATTTAAGCCTCCACCTTGCACTAAGGAGTTTAGGGAAGTTTCTCCATCTTTGGCAAAGGCTCTGGGACCAGTTAGCACTTCCTCATAGAACATCGAAGGCGCTGCTCTAATACCACGAGTTTGCAATGCAAAAAGTTTGTCTTTATTCGAAAGTCTGAAGCGTACATATAGAGAGGAGGCAATACGATAGAACTGCACTAAATCTGCCCTAATAACTGATAAAGATGATAACAAATATTCTGATTCTAAAAATCCCTACAGATCTGTAAAATATCTTGAAGAAAATAAATATGCTAACAGTAAAACCAATTAAGGCTGGTTAAGTTGGCCCACTTTCAACAGTTTATCATTGACCCAAGTTGATGCATGAGAATTGCCTTTTATGTGTTTCTATTTGTTTTCTTTGTGCTTTAGTCATGCAGCATTTTGGGTGTTGTTTTGTTATGATATGTCAGTGTTTTGTTATCCAGTGTAATTTATAATAGGAAAAACATACCTTTTAGTCCTTGCACTTTGCTCGTGTTTTGCTATAGGTCCCTGCACTTTTTTTCGGTGTTCTGAGTCCCTACACTTTCATTTTCTAGTGTTATAGGTCCCTAAATAAACAAAATGAAGAAAGTGTAGGGACCTTGGATGAATGTAAAACACCAGAAAATGAAAATATAAGAACCCAAAATACCAAAAAAAAAAGTGCGGGGACCTAAGTAAAACACTAGCAAAGTGCAAGGACCAAAAGGTACGTTTTTCCTTTATAATATGAATAGATTGATTCATTAGCTTAGGGGGAGTATTATCATACATGTCAGGTAATGGAGACATTATTTTGTAGCAAACCTTGTCTACATCATAGGTTGTTCTCGAGGCATATTAAGCAAGCTAAGTCTCATTTTTGTAATTAAACTTGATGTACTTAGAGGACGGTGAATTGTGCTCAGGCTTTCACACAAACTAGGATTACAATTATCATTACTTATCAAGTGGAAAGTAGCGACTTAGACAATGCTACTTGGGAAGCTATGGCTACCATTCAAAGTTAGCATGCTAAGTTTGACACTCATGCACTAGCTCCAACTCCTTGATGATAAAGAGTTTCTCATAGGAGGGAATAGTTGGTGCATGAGAATTGCCATTTACATATTTCTATCTTAGTCATGCTATATTTGGGGTATCATTTTGTTGTGGTATGTTAATGTTTTATTATCCTGTGTCATTTAGGATATGAGCTGATTAATGTGTCAACTGAGGTAGAGTATTACCAGTTGCCATACATCTCAGATAGTATAAGCACCTGGTCTGTACATGTACATAACAAGGCGTCATCAAGACATACTAGAGTAGTTATTTTATATTTTGTTACCAGAATTGAAGAACTCAGAGAATAGTTAATTGTGTTCTAACCCTTGCATCAACCAGTACCAAAACCAGATTACAGAGTAGGAAGAGACAAATGTTGAAGATGCTACTTGGGAAGATTTGGTCACCCATTCAAAGTAAATATCCCTCAATTTGAGACTTACGTGCCAACTCCAACTCCTTGAGAACAAGAATTTTCTCAGAAGGAGGAACAGTTGATGCATCAAGATTGCCATTCACCAGTTTTTTTGTGTTCTCTGTGTTCTAGTCATGCTGCTATTTCGGGTGTCATTTTGTTAATATTGGTGTTTCATTATTATGTGTTATTTAGGATATGAACAGCTTGATGTGTTAGCTTAGGTGGAGTATTACCATATATGTCAGATAGTGGAGGTGCCATTCTGTAATGAACCCAGTCTGAGTAAGTGGCAAGGTACTTCTGAGGCAAGCTAGGCTAGCTATGTCTCATGTAATCAGACCTGAAGATCTCAGAATAGTAGATTGTGTTCATGCCAACTAGTATAAGAGCCAAGTTATCAAGTGCAAATGAGTAAATGTGGAAGATGTTACTTGAGAAAATCTTGTCACCATTCGAAGTCAATATCTTGGGGGAACAAGCAGAATGAGAGCTAATTTGAAACCAGTAAAGGGAAGAAGAAAAATAATAAGGATGAGGTGGTTATGGAGGGGCGAAAATCTTTGGTTGACATATGTTTGCTGCATAAGATTATTCTAGAACATCAATAATCAGTGGGGATATTTCACATAGGATTCAAGCTGGGTGATTTAATTAGAGAAAAGCTAAAGGAGTTATTTGCGACCGTAAGGTACCTAATAAACTTAAAAGAAAGTTTTATCATACTGCTATCAGACCGGCTATGTTATATAGTAGTTAATGTTGGGCTCTAACAGGACAGCAAGAGCATAAAGTTGGAGTAGCAAAGATGAGAATGTTACGATGGATGTGCAGACATATACGTAAAGATAAAATTTGAAATAAGCACGTAAGCGAAAAAGTGAGGGTAGCACCTATTGAGGAAAAAATGGTAGAAAATCGTTTGAGATTGTTTGGACATGTACAAAGAAAACCGCGGGAGGCACCAGTGAGAAGAGTGGAACATATAACTTTAAGCCCTGTTAAGAGAGGTAGAGGAAGGCCTAAGAGAACACTTTTGGAAGTTGTTGAACACAATCTCTTAATTAATAATATTCCTAAAAGCTTGATAAATGATAGAGCACAATGGTGTCTTGCAATCCATGTAGCCGACCCCACCTGGTGGGATAAAGGCTTGTTGTTATATCAATAGTTTTAGCCACTCAACTAGGTAGAATTAGCCATTAGAAACACTGAAACTTGAAAAAAAATATAGGACAAAATTAAATTAAAGAAGGGAAGGAAAAAACAAAAACAACAGGATGAAACAAACCATTTAAGGAATAAAAGGTATACTTTACCTTTTTTATTCAAGACATGAGCTAGTTTATTATTTACATATTCCAACCTCTTATTTTTTATGGTGGTGAATAGTTAGTCAAAGAACTCTTTTGTAAGACCAAGATACCAAGAGATCAAACACATCAATACTATTGTCTCCGACAAAAAAAAACTCAGATATTTAAACAAAAAAAGCATTATGATTAAACATGGCATGGCAAAATTATAAGAGCTTACTAACATAAAAATCAAAACGAGCACTACCCATCCACCGATATTTTTCAGATTCAATATCAACATCTGCCACCAGCCCTGAAAATAGGATAATACATTCAGAAGATACAATAAAATGCCAAGGTAACATGGTCAAAACAAGAGATTTGCCATATGAATCCATCATAAATAAGTATTTAGAAATATATGGTGATGCTATTTACCCCAGGCAAGCATCAAAACACTAAAAAATCTGGTTCCCCCTTGGGTGATTGTAGCCACATCTAGTGATCGTTTATGGCCTACAGATATTTGATATGCAAATAGTTTTTACTGACGTGAAACAAGAGAGAGAAAAATTTGGTAAGGATACAACATATTTGCAACAAGGAAATGATCAGCAACCTCGTATAATGGCAAGAGCAGCATTAACAGCTGTGCAAGGATCACCAACAGAATCAAGAAGAGATTTTGCCACACCATTACCCGTACCTTCACAAAGAATGACTCATCTTGAGAACCCAAAAAAAAAAAGTAATAAGAAAAAAAACTTATCAGAAGAGAGACTTGAACTAGTTTGTATTATGAAGGGAATTGGTATGAAATAACACACAGAGAGACGTATAGAGAGAGCGAGAGAGAGCAACTGAATTATCTATTAACAGTCATCAACAAACTCTATTTATAGACTTATTCTCAGGGTTCTTGACCAATTGAACACCTAAAGTCATGGGTACTACCACTATCTATTAGGATGTCGATAGTTTTTCTTTCCATTTGTCCCTGAAACCTCATAGCTATCCCATCACCCTCAACTTCTTGATTGGCATTGAGAGAAATTTGTGGCTTATTGTGCACCTCAACTATTGCCTGCATATGTTTTGTCATTTCGTCAATACCTCTCATCTACTTCAATCAAATGAACTTGTTCTTTCCTCCTTTGAGGGAACTCATTATTTTTATTGTATTTTTCATGAAAAAAGAAACATAATGTCATAAAACTCATCTTGATAGTCAGCCACTGGATCCACTTGCCTCAAATGCATTAAATCCTCCATTGGGTCTTCATGAATCGGCCCAAATCTTTTAATAGCTTCTCTATACCAAACCTAGGTTTGACGACAGAATTGAGATCTTTCATAGGCCTTTCTCATCCAGGTGCATGCCTACCAACATGTTTGACTTTAACCAAATGTTAAGTTTTTCCCCATGCTAGCCAAACAAAGACATCATCTAAATGGAATCATGGAAAAAAGTCCGCACCGAGCAGTCTCAATTCTAACTCAAGTGATGTGATCTAAAGCTTGCCTCTTGTATCTGATCTACTAACAAGCTCTCAAATTCTCATGAAGTCAATCATCCACACCAACAGAGCCCAGAGATTTTCTTGCATTCCCGCCATCCTCTCTGTCAACTTCGACTACTCCATTTTGTGACCCACTCACTGTGCCACCTGGTTCCTTGCACGTTCCTCCATATCATGCTAGGGTACCAACTAACAATCATCAACAAACTCCTTGGGTACCAACTAACAATCATCAACAACCTCCTTGGGTGCCAACTCTATTTGTAGACTTAGTCATAGAGTTAGTTAATAACTGTCTAACTACCTCCATCTCACTTACAACTCTAATATCAGAAACTTTTGTTTCCTAATAGTAATTGTAGTAGCAATATCAGAGGAAAGGAACACTAACCCGAAAAATTTTGCAAATCTCCCCATCTGTTCTCAACCCCTTTTTTTCCAAGAATTGTTCTTCTAGAATCTCCTAATATATCCTCCCTAGATCCTTGCAGTCCAAAACCCTAAACAAACCTCATTACTCTGCCTTGAACATGTCAAACAGAATTCAATGCCCTCAAAGCAGGTCCCCCTCACATTATATAAGGACACTAGGTTACAGATGATTTTCAGCCATTAGAATCAATCTACCTAGTTAGCATAATAATTAACATATACAGTAATTAGAATATATTTACAGGACTGGACATATAGTTTACATCCCACCTCAATTTCAACTATATTTTCTGCATTCACTTTTTTTGTAATTGAAAATTTGTTGGTTTTATCTGAATCTGTTTCTAGCTACTTTTTTTTTTATATATATATTTTAACTAGCACTCATACATTCAGACTTGCAAAGTTGTTTTAGTCCTGTTACCTAGGCTTATATTCTCCAAATCAATATCCAATATCCATCCAATGTTGTTTAAGACTTTGTGTGAGCAACTGCAGTTCACCTCCCGCTTATGTTGCATTATCCTTCAACAGCAGTAACCCTGGTATGTATTCTTCAACCCGTGAATATAGGGAAAGTGCAAGCATGCCAAATGCAATTCCTTATTTTGGTGCTTCATCCAGAAAGACCAAAAGAGAAATTATTCTAGAAATAAGATTAAAAATAATGGCATATTCTACTAAATAAGCCCCCAACTTCTTAATTGCAGAACCTCTCCACTGGAGTGGACATATAGTGCCATTATGAAGCAAAGAAGACAAACAATTAGTAACAAGAAAAACGAATGAGTAAATTCTGACTAAATTTAATTTAAAGTCTGGTTAAATAATTGTAACTAACAAGAAATCAAATGAGAAACAAACCTGCAGGAACTACACCAATAGGTATCTTTACGGCAGTTTCCCAATCATCTCTTTCAAGTAGTCCATTTATAACCTACTAAAATGCAAGGTTCTTGTAAGCTTGGGGAGGAAAAACACCAATAGAAATGCATTCAGTCAGTCAATGCAAGAGCACTTCAGGGTACATGGTTTATAATTGAGGAAAACCAAATGATGCTTTTATGTTCTTTTGTAACTTTAATATGAGCATGAACTACAATGTGACCATGCTATTCATCGTACTGATAAGCTAGCAAATCCAGTAGACATGACGGCAAAACAGAACTGCCAGCTTAACAAGTAGTTCACTAAGAACTGAATTATGGTATTGACAATGATCTCAATTAATCCACGAGAATAGGTTAGGATACCAATGCTTAATTGGCATAAATACATTGAATTTTTCAAACATGTATTAGTAACATCTACACTTTTAGCTCATCAAATATAGGGATGAAAAGCTTTCATTAGTATAATGCTTACAGTTACATAAATGATCTGGTCAAAAAAATAAAAAAGTTTACTTATGTAATCAACATTTTAATGAGTTTCATGATGACTAAAATTAAGCACATCTCAATCTTTTTTCATTTCATTGTCCCAAAAACAAAAACAAAAGCAATGCACTTTCCCCAAGCCCTTTTGCAGAAGATGCAGACCATTATAGAAATTTAAATAGCAGTTTTCTATTAGTTGAAACTGACAAGTTATTTCCCTGACACATATCTTGCTCCATAACCATTATGGAATAGAATAAGGGTCAACATTGTTAGAGTCATCCACAAATCAAATAATCATGGGGCACTTATTGCAACAAATATCAAAATTAAAAGATAGGAAACTACCTCAACCAAAATTCCATCACCGCTAACACATATGATCCCATCATACTTAGGAATATCTAGAGCATGAGCAACTTCCTTTGCATGGAACTGATGTTTGGTTTCTGAGGGATATACAGTACAGAAATAGATAAATAAATAAAACATCAAAAGGAAAAGTTTAATACTTGACAAATAAACTAGAGGAAGGGAAAGACATTATAAAACTTTGCAGAAGAATCAGAACCTTGGACTGTGATTTGGATTTCCGCATCTTCAAGAAGAGGTTTTACATGATCATTGAAGACCATGGGGGCAGTTTTCTTCCCACCAAATGGATTAAGAAAAATAAAAAGTCTTTTAGGACGACCTGTTGTGAAAAGAATTAAATTTAGCTATATATTTCAGACATGGAAGCAATCTACAAGGAAGCCTGCAATAAGGTCAACCTACAAATGAAAAGGACTGCAGATCATTGGTCTGTTAACAAGAAGGCAGAATGAAATGCATTTTGCCAAAGAGTCTGTGTTTACAGTGACAACTAATTTTACAAGCTTGCTCCCTTTGTGCCAATGGTATCAACTAGCAATAAGATTCAGAATTAATTGAGCAAATAAAGGGATATAAAAGTGAGAAAAAAAGGAGAAACTCAGATTTACTTTATGCAAAATTTCAGAGTCAGCTAAATAGAAAGTAATACTCCAAAGTAGGGAAAAGAATAATAAAAATGCTGCTCCATACGAAGACAATTGAGTTGTAGTTGAGGACTGATGGGCACCCAAGTGAGATGAGAAAACCTCCCCTAAATGCTAGTCATTGAGGTAGAAAAACCATCACTCAAATATTATATAGAGAATCCCATGCTAAATGTGGGGCTTGTTACACGTTCCCACTACCTTGGTTTCCATCAGTTGGCTGCCCTCCAGGAATCCTGAAAATACACTTCACTCATGTATAAGACACTTCACTCAATTTTCTTGCTAGTCAAAACTAGGTAGGCCTTTAAAAGTTGTCAACCACTAAAATATATAAGAATTGAATTTTTTTTTTTTTTTTGGGGGCCGGGGCGGTACTTTGATGTGAATTGATGAGCATCCAAGCAAGATGGAGATGGAGATGGAGATGGAGAACCCTCCCACAAAAACTAAAAGTTGAGAGAGAGGATTGAAAGTTGGCCCGGGGGAAGAAGAAGATTGAAAGAGAACCAACTCACTTAAGAAACCATCTCATACCAGATGTGAGACTTTGAATACTTGCTTAAGAATCTTATACTACCTTAGCATCAATACCAAAAAAATGATCTCAAACAAACAAAAATAAAGCTTTTTAAAGATGAAATTCAATAGCTTAACATATCTTCAGGCACTACATTTAAAAGCTGAATTTGAAATCCCAGTGCTGTCAACTGAATCAATAACTGTTCAACTTATACAAGTTACATTTAATTTGCAAACCTGGGAAAAGTCTGAACTTGAGAGTAAGAGTAGCCATGCTGTGATCACTACAACACATCTAATGATACTCTACATTCCTTGGGTCCCATGAAAATGGAGGCAAATAAACAGAAACGTAATTCATACCACCACCAGTTGGTCCAGACTTTGATAAAATTTATAAGAGATAATATATTTTTGTGGCCCCAAAAGAGCGCGGCTTCTGAGTTCCCGTCAGTAAAACCCAAAACAAATTTACATGCTCAAATTGTCGAACCTAAAACTTCATGAAATTAAATCACACTATAGTTGTAAAACTGAGGACCAAATGATCGAGGAATGCACCTTTCAGGAAAAAAGTTATATTTTCTCGAAATAAACAAAGACAACGAAAACGATGAAATGTTTACCAAGCGAATCAAGGTATTCACGAAGCTTTTGGGACCAAAGCCTTTGGGATTCCTCAGACAAGGGTTGAAACACGATATCCTTTCTAACCAGTTTTCTGCTTCCATGACAGCAGCCATCAACAGCCTCCAGGATGGTTTTGATCTTGATGCTGACACCATCAGTGACGAACCCGAGAACCTCTTTGTCAACATGTAAACACCGCCGAACTCCATTGGACCACCGCAGTCTGCCGTCGGCTAGCAGCGCCACCGGCGTCTCCGTGCCGTCGACGATGAGCCGCTCGGATATTATGGGGGGAGTGTTATCGGACTGCTCCATTCCTGCATCCCGAGCCGGAAAAGTTGGTGGGAAATTACGGACCCAAAAAAAAGTCGAGGACATCCAAGTTTTTTTAATGGAAAACCCCGCCCCTTACAATCATCGGTATACAGTACATACAAACATAATGCAGCATTACACCCAAGTCTTATAAAAAAAAATTATTTACTATAAAACTCATTAACAACTGAATTAAAATTAATAATTAATTTTTTCATATCATAATTTTATAGTAATTAATTTTTTTTTAAAGAATTTTAATATAATCCTCCCTTATTTTTATTTAAATATTTTTTAAAAACATTGGATATCTATAATAATTAATGAGATTATTTTTTTGAACTACTTTTTTCTAGGAGCCAAAAAATCCATTCTCTTAATCACCCATTACTTTTATCATTTTCTACTAATGTAATATGTGTGTATAATTCATACTCAGTGATAGATAGAACTCTAATCATGTTTTTAGTACTAATTTGCTCTTGAATTCTTTTTGCAAGAGCCTTGAGCATCCTGAAATCCTTTTTTAAGAGTGTTCACTATCATGAAGTCTTATTAAAATAAAATTTAATAAACATTTGTAAATATTTAAATTTTTAATCATTTAAATATTATTTTTAGATATTAATAGTTTAAACTAGTTTTTCTTAAATTTATAGATGACTTATAATCTTTTATACATTAATAAGATTTTTTAAATTGATTAAGTTTCATAAATATTTTAAGTCCTTTTTTTTTATACTGATTTATGATTTATATTAACATGTGATACTGATTTATGATTTATATTAACATGTTTTATAACTTGCATGTTTTAGCATCCAAATGATAGTTTGACTTATTTAGTTATTTACAAACAGTGTAAAAGATTAGACTATGGAACATATATATATATATATATATATAAACGTGTGTGTGTTAAAGAAACATATGAGATACTATGCGTGTTGCATGTATTAGTGGGTGAGATTTCATCCTGAGTGTGTGAAGATGTGTGAAAATAAAATCCATATGGTCAGGCTAGTACTATAAGACCTCTAGTGTAGCAATATATTTAGGACTATTACTATGGGACATTATGGCTAGTACTGGGCAAACGGGTTGCGGGCCAGCCCGCGGGCTAGCCCACGCGAGCTGGCAGTTTTGCGAGTTGGATTGGGCCAGCCCGCCAGATAAAACGGGCTGGAAAATCTAACCCAACCCATTTTCCAGCGGACTAGTCAACCCGCGGGCTAGCCCGCAAAAAATTATCAAATTTTTTTAATAATTTAAAATTTATACAATATAAATATATATATATATATATATATATTCATATTTTAAAACAAATTAGAAATTAAAAAACTTGTAAATAAATAAAATAAATATAGAATTCAACCAAGCAAATTCATTTTGCTAGATTTTTATTATTAATCATTTTCTCACCTAGGTGTGCTATCTTTATCACTAATAAAGAAAATTTAAATATAAACTCATATTATTTTTCTTAGTGAATTCATATTTATAATTTCAATCAATAGAATTTATGAGATTAATAAATAATATATATTCAAAACATTTCTATAAAAACTAATAAATCATCTTCATAAACTATAACAAAAATTTTATTTGCAAATTGTAAAAAGAATTTACACTATATTTTAAATGTAAAGAATATATTTAAAATTCATAAATTATATATTTAAGAGATATTATCATTGTTGTAAATTTATAAAAAGATATAATGTAATTAAAAAATAAAAAATTATTTTTAAAAAATGTTGCTAGCCTGCGGGCCAGCTCGTTTAGCCCGTGGGCTAACCCATTTTAACTCGCTTTTTTGCGGGTTGGGCTAACCCAGCCCGTTTTAAAAAACGAGCTAATTTTTTCAACCAACCCGTTAAATTGTGCAGTTTAAACAGGCTAGCCCGCGGGCTCAACCCATTTTCTCGGCTCTAATTATGGCAGTCTAGCAACTCCTTAATGCTTGTGAAGGTACAATTGGGAGTCAATGATATCCCTATCATGTGTGTGTGACAAGGGAAAATCATAGTCCGAAAATGGGACAAAATACCTTTGGTCGGGTATTTCTATCACTAAAGGTATATTCAAATCAATGATGACAGGATTGGTCCAATAGAGCCTATGAGTTTAGTCGAGAAGCATAAAGATTCGATGGATAGATGATCATGCGAGTGTACAAATGGTTTTATGGAAATGATTATAAGGACACACATACACACATGTGCGCGTGCGCACATGTAATTTGTGCAAGTAATATAATCATTTTGTTTTCTTTTTTGTGGTTATTCATGTTAATAGATAGTGATGAATTATTTTAATTATTGGGATGTTTATCTCACCGTGGTTACCATTTTACAAGTTTTGACATTGGGGGCAATAGAGGGAAAGAGCCAAGCCAGAAGTAGGGGACTACTAATAGCCCGTAAAAGTTAGTGCAATGAATTTGTTTGTTTACGACTGCTATTATATATATAAGTTGCTTTAGGATTGCATTTACATATGATATATGATGCACTTGTGCAACTATATGGGTAACTTATCCTTAGAGTGTGTAAATGGGATGTGTGATTAATTTTGTAAATGAAGGCTAAGATACTATTTCAAGTGCACATTGGTGTGTTTGATGTGACAGATGTGTGAAGTTTGGTCAAGAGTGTAGAAATGTGTGTAAATGTGTAAAATGGCCCTAGTGCATGTGTAAAGAGCAAATTAGTGGCCAACTTGTGTATATATGTGATTTTATGATATATCTATTCAATCAAGTGTTAAATGTTTCATTTCATTAAATATGATTAAAGCCCTAAAAGTGGCTAATGATATCTGATTTCTTTTGGGGTGCTAAAGCAAGTGAAAATCACAAAAAACAGTTATTTTACACCTAGATGTCTGATTTTCAAATAAAATACCAAATTTGAGTAAAACTATTGTCATTAGTTATATTTTGATATAAGCTTCATGAGGGCACTTGAACCACCTTAATTAGACACTATACATTTTCACAGTGCACGTTAGAAGTTTGTATCAGTTGAGCTATTTTGACAGCAAAATCTGATACGTGCTCCATGACTCATGATACACATGTTGCGGCTCATGGCATAGAACGTGGACTTGTGTCTTTGTACAACATGCCACGATGCACATGTCACATATCGCAGCATATGGCCCATTTTGCTTAAAATTACTATTTTACCCCTATTTTCTCTTCGTATGTTATGTATGAAATCCGCATGCTTCCGTTAAGCGTTAATGCATGCTCTTGATGGATTTTAAATAGTTTTAAGAGATTTTTAGGGATCCCAATCTCTTTAAAGAATTTTCTAAAACTAAGTTTAAAATAGGGTTGTTTCATTATTCCAGGAGCTTGCAGACTCCTAACTACCATAGAATGTGTTACAAGTGTACAGTACAATAATGTCAGGTAGGGCATTACGAGCTAAGTCATTTCTCATGATGGGTGAGCTTGAGTAGTCCATTCATACGGACAAAGCTCTAGTTGAATTATAGTCCATGATTTTAGTTAGAAGGTATAAGAATGGTTAGATCATGCATTCTTATCTGATGTGTTACATGATTGTTACAGTTGTGACAAGTTATGAAATTTGCTTTTGTATGAAATTTGCTTTTATCTTTGTCACATGGTTGTTATTGTTTTGGCAATGTGCATTGAGAAATAATGTGGAAAATGATAATGTTATTGCCTTGATACTAAAAAAATTATACGTTTATGAATGTTGTATATGTTATGTTGTTAATTAATAAGCAATTTCATAGAATACATATATTGTTAATTAATAAGCAATATGCATTGCTTTAGCTTGAGTTTTGACTAAGCCAAAGCTTTCAAGGCTTGGGGATTGATATTCTTATTATATAGCCTTGCTTTATTTATGTTAATGTCTAATTTATGAAGATATTTGCCAACTAGGATTACATTCTTTTGTTATACTTGCAGTAAGTGTTAATAGTGTTGAACTAGCATATTTTGGGCCCTATGTAACATTCAAGAAAATTTAATCCTAGTTTATTAACCTAATAGGGAAATTAGTGAGTTAATAAGGTGTATGGCTAGAGGGGCTTAACTTGGTGTATTTGTGGTGATTTCAACCCTAAAAGTGGTTCCGAATTAATGGCGACCACCCGGGAAAGGAAAGAGGAAGAAAAAGTGAAGAATTGTCCTTTGTGTCACATGTTGCGGCGTGTGGTTAGTCCACTGCGGTGCATAGAGACAAATTTGAATGCAATAAGCTCCTTTGTGCCACGGGACACGGCGAAGGACAGCGTGTGCCATGGTGTGCGGGCAAAATCTCTGATAAATCAGTTCGCATCTGTGCGAGAAAACAGAAGGGAGAAGAGGGAGAAAGCGAAGAGGACATTGGAGCTCTGCTAGGGCACGCATATTGGCTTTCATTATTGATATTTTGAAGCTCCTAAATAGCCAAGGTAAGTAATCTAAGCTTATTCTTCCTTTCTCTCCCTCATTTATGATGAATTATAGTAGGATTTGAGTTGGAAGATGATTTTCGGTCCATAGGAATATAGGTCCGATTCATTGATTAAAATGAGTATAATGGGAATTGTTTAAGGTATTGGAATACCACATTGGTGATTTTAGAAGTGGTTGGTCCATGAGAGCATTTAATATTTGAAAATGGATATAAATATGGTAGTTGGGAGAGGTTTATGTGCATTAATGATGATTTGAGGTGTTATTAATGATAATGTGCATTAATGGAACCTGATGAGCCCATTGAGTATGAATGGGTAATGACTATGGGTTGATAAAATAGAATGTGTGGAGTTATGTATTGATAAATTTTCAAGATTTAGATAATGATGATATTCTTGTGGTATGATTGTAGTGTGGTTCATTTTGTCACCATTTAAACTTGTTGAAGCTTTAGAAAGTTGGTATAATGAGGAGTAAACCTTTGACTCCTCAAAGGTTTGAGGTAACTGGGGGGAACTTAATCTTTACAGTTGAATGTTAATTGTATTTGAGAAATGTGATTTATGATTTAAATCAATGATGCATATTGGCAATGTGTTTGACTTGCGAAATGGTTTTGGAAAGAAAACCTTAATTATGCCACT